ATGTCAGTGAAAATGTAAATAGGTAGAGATAAGCAAGACAAAAAGTAAAGTAGGGGAGGGGGAAGAGAGACAGGCTGGGACAAGCTGCCCAGCTGGGGCGTGGGGCATGTTGCATGCGGAGGGGGGCAGGGGACACAGGATGCGGGCACGGCAGCCCTGGGAGCAGGGGCTCTGCCCTGCTGCTCCTTGCCCAGCTGGGGCAGAGGGAGGGGGGTGGGATGTAGGTGTAGCTTGTTCCAAGCACAAGGGGGCAAGTGATAGCAGGAATTAGTCCCCGCTCCCATCACTGCCGCACCACATCCCATGCCCCCTATGCTGGCTGGGAAGCAGCCCTGATGTGGGTGCAGAATCACTGTGTGTGGAGGCTCTGCCATGCTGCCGCCTAGAGCAAGCCACACCTGCATCACACCCCCCCACCTGCGCCAGCTGGGCAAGTGGCAGCAGGGCAGAGACAGGCACAACCAGAGGAGTCACGGGAGAAGCCCCCGTGCCTGCCCTGCCCAGCCTCTCAGCATTTTTTTTTTAACGACTGGGGCCTCTGAGGGCTCCTGGCAGAGCTCCCCTGTGCAGCACAGGGCAGTGAGGATCTCCCCCCAACTTGACACCCGTGTGGTAGCTGCCCCATGGCATGGGTGCAGCACAGGTCTGCAGGGCATTGTGTGCTGTGTGGGAGCTGGGGTGGCTCCACCTGTCAGCTATAGCCTAGTACCGCTCAGCCCCAACTGCATTTATTTGGCAATACTGTGAAAGATCCCACCTATGTCATCTCCTGCAGTAGAGCTGCAATTCAATCAAATGATGTAAATGATGTAAAATGCTAAATATTCCAGTTGGCAGCCCTAGTGCTATTGAATTTGCAGGGCCGAGCCAAACCAAGACACAAAAGAGAAATCAAAGCTTACCAGAAAATGTTGTGTTTAATGCATATGTTTAAATAAAATGGTATTTTTAGGAGCAGAGCAAGGATTTAAAAAAAAATAAAAACATGTTCAATAACTCAAAACAACATTTTTTTAGACATTACTGGTAACACAAAAGATTTAAGACTTTTTTCTTAGGAGACTGACTAAAACAAGCATGCAAATGAAGAAATTCAAAAATTACAGGTGCCTGCACTTTCTGCATTATGGAGCCTAAGACCACCCTTGATTTTCTTTTTATGCCAATTTTTTAAAACTTTTATCAGCAGATTTGACAGGGAGGAAAAACAAAAAATGAAAGAACTTCTATCTTAACACTACCAAAGAGGATGTGTGAAAAACAGCATTATTTCCTCCAATGTGCCACATTCCATTTTTTAATAATTAACAGCAATGGAGTAAATTCAGACAAAATATAATCCATAGGAGCATGCTGACTTGTGAAGTGAAAGATGGAGAGGGCAGTTTCCATTCTTAACTCCACTACTGACTATCTGGGGCACTGGGCAGATATCAGAGCTCACATCTCAATTTTATTCAATATAAAATAGCACTAATAGTTTTCCATCACATAAAAATGAGCAAGAATGGTATCCGCTTTGGAAGTGCTAAAAATATAGCTACTCTCATCACTTTCCATTACTTCCTTCCATTATTCAAGATACACTGGAGTCTGAATCCATTTACTATGAAGCCAAAAGCATTATCGCATGACCATGCATAACTGCTATGAA